TGATATAGTGATAATTTGTTCTATGTCTATGGCCTTGATTAGGGAGCATGTGCGGGACGTATTTGTAGTGCGTTTTAGAAAAACGCTTTTGATTTCACCAATCAACAAAATTTACTACTTCACATCAAATCAATTAAAAAGTATAATTGTAGTTAGAAAAACCGCATGTATGTTTAATTGCGTGAAGAAAACTTGAAGCCCGCGTTTATTATTGGTATGCACCAATTTAGGTGCGTATAAGTACGTCTAGGTACGGTTTTCTTGTATATATTTTTTTAAAAAAATTGAAAATAATTAGGTAAGCAAATTTAGTTTAATCAAATTATTCAGTTTAAAATATATATATTTTTCATCATTTAAAATATTAGATAAAATTGTTTGAATTACAAATCCGCAATAAATTTGTTATGTTTACCAATCAAACATTGTTTCGTACCGCATTTTTCACACAAACTGCACTTGTTCAGCAAATACATTTTTTCCGCACGATCCGCACTTGTCTCGTACCGCACAATTTCTTTATCCACCCCGCACAATTTGATGTCACCATTCGGACCCTATATTTGAGATCAAGGATCTCAAAGCGTAAAGACTTGGCTTTGATTGGGCAACATGTTTTTCAAAAACGTATTTGATGTCACCAATCAAGAAATTTTACAAACTATAAATCACATCGATTAAAAAAATCAAATTAAATAAAAAGGCTATTAATGAACCGCAAATGGTTCTCTTGCATGTGCGGGGCGGATAAGAAAATTGTGCAGTGCGGTACGATACAACTGCGGATCATTTGGAAAAAATATATTTGCGGAACAAGTGCGGTTTGTGTGAAAAAATTGAGATGGAACAATGTTTGATTGGTGACTATTACAAATGCGGTACGGATATAATAATTATCGAATTTCAACCAATTTATATTAATATTTCGAATAACCAAAACAAGTTTTTCTTAAAGTAAAATTATCTTATTCAATATAACTAATATACAATAATTTTTTTTAAAAAAAAATCTGAACTTTTAAAGGTGTACAAGTGAATAACGCACCTTAACCGCACCTATTTTGGAGTTGGTATTCTTCCCGCACTTTTCTTTGCTAAATAAGTTCCTCCTACAGTAGTTTGAACCTTTTTTATTATTTTATAAAGTTATTTGCAATTCAACATTTATGCATGATTGGTAACACAAACAAAATCCGTCCCGCTTTTAGTTGAATTCCGCACTTTATGTGTTCTCCATTATCATGGATATGCAATAATTTAGGTGTGGTTAGCTGCGTTTTCTTTATTTAAAATAAATTTTCTTTCAATTTTTTTTCTAGTTTAAAAAAAACAATAGGTTAAATTTATTGACTGTAAAAATATGCTTTTTTATAAAATATTATTATATCCGCAACCCATTTGTTTTAGTCACCAATCAAACATTGTTCCATTCCGCTTTTTTTACACAAACCGCATTAGTTCCGCAAACCGTATGATCCGCACTTGTACTTTACCGCTCCGCACAATTTTTATGTCCGTCCCGCAAATTTAATGTCACCATTCGGACTTTAAAAATATGTGGAGCTTCAGTAACTACAGAGATTAGTATAAATTAGTTCTACATGCAATGATAAACTGAAATTACATGGAATTTTTCTTATCATCATTACCAATCACACGATCATGCCTTGGATGTGCAGCTACGTATCATTTCGACAAATATGAGAAAAGATGAGAGAATCATTTCGCTTAGATGAGGAAACTTTGCTGGAGCATCTCGTTCTGGCTTCTTTACACATTTGAATAATCAGATTTGCAGCATGTTTAATCAAATTATTGAAATGGATTGAATGAAAACGTCTTATAATCCTAATTAGGGCAGAGAGAGAGCGAACGAACCTGTAGATCAAGGGGTTTTCAAAGTCCATAGACAGAGCTTTTGGTTACGAGCAATTTTGGGTAAGTAATTGAGAATAATGATTAAAACAAAATTTTAAGAAAATGCCAAAATCTTATAATTAAAAAAGTGTTTGTTTAAAAATATCTATATAAAAAAATGAAGCAAATTATGGATTAAGAAACAAATAGAATGAAATATTGTTCAATTTAAAATTTATATGGTTGTGTACGGACATAGCCGAACACAGTAGACGAGTGGTGGTGGTTGACAGAAACAGACACTAATGTGATGATAGTAGAAAGAGGAATAAATTTGCAAGGCATAACAATCATTTCTATTTGAGATGAACAATGAATTGTGGCAATTGGGAAAAAAAACTAAAACAAATGGCAATTGGAGAAAATGGCAGTTGGCGTAAAAGTCTCACAACTTAAAAATCATATTGCAAAATTAAGTTGTGAATTTATGTCTCAACTAGACGGATTGTGAATTTTTGCTAAATCTCTTTCCCCGGATTTTACAAATTTAACCGGGTTTAGAATTATATTTTCTTTAATCAAATAATACTTTTGTCAAGTTATTTGTCATTTAATCTATAAGATAATACAATTTTTAATTTGTTTTTGAATCATTTTTGGAATTTAACTTCTAAAATAAAATCGATTTTAAAAAATATAATATAAATTTTTGTAATAGTCTGCGCATGCGCGGGTTATAAACCTACTTCAATTAAACATAATAGTGATACAATACAACTCTCCTTTCTCAGCAACTCTTACAAAGGCTTTGAGAAACAACTCTGCTTCACCTACTGCTAAAAGCATACTGTCCATCTAATGATCTGTTCTCAAGTTCAAAGCCGAGACACGACCAATCGAAAGCAGGAACCGTATAGGGTCCCTCAAGTAATCCCACAGCGATCCGTCGATACACATACTCAGTCAAATGATTACCGTCCCAATGTACATACTTTGAAGGATCAAGACAACAATCCACTCCTTTAGTCCCACATGGACTAACACTATTGTAAATGTACATACCTCCTGATCCACAACAAGCGGACAAGGGTCGGTTTATGAACCCTAATACCAAAACACAAGAAATCAATTCAATAACTTGGTTAGTTAGTTGATCCTATGAAAATGCGTATTTAGAGATAAAGAGGAAAAGCAGGTTTGGCTAACCGAATTTGGCCGGTTCTTGAAAAATTTGTAACGCGGCATTGTAGTAGTCAGCGTATAAGATGGCTACATGAGGGTAGAGTTTCTGGAGTCTGTTGAATTCTGCTTGAAGCTCCTTGTTGTGATGTTGTCTAAACTCGTTTAGCCATTTCAAATATCTTGTTAAAGGATCATAATCTTAAACGATGTCCAGCATCCGACTGGGAAGTCACAAGGCACCAGAATCGTTCTGCCTTCCATACTGATCAACTCCTATATTGTTTGTATATGCGTTCAAGATTCAAGTTTCAAACGCAATACAGTCCAAAAACTGGAGTTTCCAAGAGAAAATGTTTACCGTAATTGTAGAAGAAATAGTGCTGATCACTAGAGGAACCAGCTCTTTCGTCTCTTCGATGCCTTTTCCAACGAAAGACGCATAGTTATAATCATTCCCTCCAATCACTCCAACGATAATCAAAGCATTGCCAATCATCTCTCTGCAATCTATAAGAAACCATTACAAAACAAGTGAGATTGCATCTCACAGGTAAACAACAAAAACAGTAAGATCTTTAGCCTATATTATAACTCTCAACTTCTAAACCATGTTCGAGATTTTAACCGTGTAAAATCATAGATATCGAGTGTAATTAACTATAAAAGGAGGGTAGATCTTCATTTACCTGCACGAGAACCACATAGATTTGGCAAACTCTCCTTGAAGCTTGTAAGCATAATGAATTCCTTTGCTCTTAAGAAAGGCATGTTCCAATGCGGTTGCTCCTGCTACCGCGAAATTAACTCCTTTCTCAAAGCTTCCATTTTGAGATCCATAGTAAGGAGGTACATAAGGAAGCCTCAAAAATTCAGCTGTTGAAAGAAAAAGAGGAGAATCATTTCATACGGTTAACTTGTAGTTCAAGAGAAGAAGAAACAGAGAAATCCCATAAAACAGAACAATTTTCGGTTTATTCCTACAAATTTTGAAAGAATATTTGAAGACACAACAAGCACAAGTAATGAGATAAGTGACTTCAACACTTAAGACGGGAAGCTCTAGAATTTTTGGAGATTTTCGAAGTCAATGTGTGCATTAAC